TGTTTCACATATATAAAATCTTACTTTTAAACATTTTTTAGTAAAAAATGAATCCAATTGAAAAACTATTACTCCACATTGCTCATTATGTTCAACAATTCGGAGTAAACACTTTTTGTACAGTTTAGATAACTATTGTCTTGTCGTAGAAAAATATGAGAAGATACTGTTATTTGCTAAGTTAAACGTGAAAAGTAAAATAAAGATCCGACCATATATATAAGCATGAAAGTACGTTGGTCTGGCAAGTAATTAAGTCATGGAGTGGGGGGCATGGGTATAGGGAGTTCGGGCCGGGCCCAATAATTTAAGGGGCACAAAAATCTTTTTTAGTTATATATATATATATATATATATATATATTGGTTCCAGTAGTAATGAAAGAAATAAGAATGATTATTCACACTTAGATGCACTTAGATCCAGACTTGAGCCGCGCTACTAGGATTGGGCATTTTGGACCGTCTCTCTCCCACATTTTGTATTTATCTGATCCGGAGAATCAGCTCCCAATCTCAAATCTGCTTCCGTTTCCTTTTGTAGCAATCTAGCCACCATGTATTCATCTTTTTTGCCATGATTTTTCTTCTTTCCGGACATCACTCTTGATTAAGAACTAAAGGAGTTTTGATGCGCTGAATACAGTGACGAGGGGGATTTCCCTGGAGCAACAGCAAAAGCGAGTCTGCGAAGAGATTAAGAAGAGGGGCAACGGGTTCTTGTAGATCTAGATCCGTCTAATTAGCTTTTCTTCTCGTTAGCTAATCTGAATTCGTCTTGTCTTTTGTCTCTCCCGTTATGTAAGTTTTTTCTTCTAGTTAGTTTTTTTAATTATTGTCTATTTGTTTTTATTAGTTCTACATGATTTGTTCTCAATTCATGATGAACAAATTTGTCTTTTTGATAATATTATTCAATTTGACATTTCTAATTTTGAAATTAAAAATCTAAATGAAATAATATTATCAAATTTAATTTCATGATTATGTTTAGAATTAATGTTACAGTTCATCTTAACTAGATGTCTATACTGCATCTTAAGGAATAAACATTGCTAACTCCTAGGTGTTGCCCTTAATGAGTTTTGCATAAACAACATTCTTATTAGTGCATTTCCGTAGTCAGATATTTCTAATGATTGGTTATTGATGTTAATGGGTGTTGCATTAAACACATTGGTTTTGAGTGTTTGTAGTGCATCTTAGTGATTGGATATTGCTACCTCTTGGATCTTGCCCCCAATTTATCATGCTTTAGGTCACATCTTTAATAGTTGCTTTAATTGATGATCTCTCTACACCATTGTCTAATGCTCTATATAGACATTGTGCTTAGCTTTATATCTCATGTAGTACAACATCTAAATTGATACAAGTAGTAGTTATAATGTAGTGATGCATCTCGTTGATGTATATTACTTTGAAATCGGGTGAGTTTTCAAATTACCTTTTGCAATTGCTGATTTTTATTCGACAAGTGGGTTTGATTTTTTTATTCAAAAATTCTTTTTTCATCCATTCCTAGATTTTCCAAATTTGGATCATGACTTTTCACTTATTTTGTGTTGAATCATACAAGTACACATTTCAATATAGGGTACGAGTACATTTGAATCAAGAATTTCATTTATCCATATCTTTTGGGGGGTCAAATCCTTATCATCTAGTTGTACATTTTTTATTTGGCTATTATGATTGCCTAGCTAAATTTTAAGCTATTTTTTTATTGTTTAATGTTTATAGTTCTTTTTGTAATTAGTTCATTTTTGTTTTGATCTCTAGTTTGTTGCAGATATTGAATTGACCGAGATTGTAATGCATTTGTGCTCGTTAGTGCATTGCTAAAAGTCCATAACACATTTTTAGCACAATAGCATGCATTCTGTCTGAAATTTTGCACTCATTGACCTTGTGTGGACCTCATTGTAAAATACGTAGTAAAAGATATGAAGGCTGCATGATGGTTAAAAAGTATACGGATGCCATTTTTAAAGGATGAAAATGTATTTTTAATAGCGCCAAGTGAAATATAAGAATCTATTTAAAAATACTGTATATCTTTGCCTATTAGCTCAAAAGGTAGAGCGGTATGTATTACAGATGTGGGTTCGAATCCTACATAGGCAAATTATGTCTCAAATTTATATTACACAAGTTCACAATGCATAATCATAGTTTCCTATCACATACAAAGTCACTCAGAAGTCATCATTCACTAATTCACAAAATAATAGACTAAAATTTGAACAAAATATAAAGGCATGCATATATCACCCATCACAATGCATTTACTTTTGATCTGTAGTGCATCTCTCTAATATACAGGATATAAAAAATCCTTTTATATAATAGATGCATATTCGAGCATACGATTAAACACTGTCGCTGAGTCAAACTCAAAGTCATAATTTGGGAAAGTGGGAGGAGCATTCAGGAGTATGTAACATCTCGAAAAAGATGGCCTAAATTTATTTACTCAACATTTATTTTGTCAAATTATAGAGAAAAAAATATTTATAAATTTTACTTCTATTACTTTAATATGTAAGAAAAAAATAATATCAAAATTTATATTCAATATTGGTTACGGTGAATAGATCTCAACAAGAGATTTTCAAAGACATACTAATCTCAAGAACAGACTTATACGGAGTATTGAAAAATTATGTACAAAATAAATAGTGCAGTAAAATAATTAAATGACATTAAATTAATATATTTATATAAACATATTCCGTATGTATAATACTGTATTTGAAACAGATCACGAAAGTTTAGCACTCTTTTTTTAATGGAGGTTTAAGACTCTTTTTAATGCCTAACATGCCCTTGTATAAGACAATAATTCCGCTTAGAGCACTGATAATGGTCATGAAGCCCCGGGGCTTCAAACCGGGGCTTCAAACTTTCTCTCTCTGCCACGTCAGCTTTAACTTACACCCAAAATTCACTGGAAATGGTTTTGAAGCCCCGGGGCTTCAAACCTTCATTTTTTACATTTTTAAATATACATCTTCTAAAATTAAATTAATAAAATGTAATTAATTTATTATTTAATTAAATTGAAACACGAATAATAAAAAAATACATTAATTAAATAAAAAAAAAGCGACAATAATTTAAAAAAGAGTAAATTTCATAAAAGGTCCCCAGTTATAGGTCGTTTTACATATTTAGTCCCTACATATCAAATATTACTTATTTAGTCCCCAATTATTATATTGATTTTCACGAATAGTCCTTTTTTTAACATTTCCGTTAAGAATGTGAATAAATTGTAAATTCACACTTCTTTCTTTCCTCAATTAAGTTTATTTCTCCCCTCGCACTCCTTTCCAAAATCTATCGCTGAGTTTGAAGCTTTGAACCCAAATTCTAAATTATTACTCTTCTCTCAAATGTTTGTCGAACTGATGGAACCCAAATTTGAAACCAGTAACCTTCATGGATGAGTTTTAATATTTATTTTCTTTGCAATTTCTTGAGACTAACCGATAAAACTCATCCATAAAGCTTATTGGTTTTTATTTTAGAGAGGTCTGATCATTTCAATTTTGGGTTTGAAGCTTCAAACTCAGCGACAAGTTTGAGAAAGAGTACGAAAGAAAGAAGGAAACTTAATTGAGGAGAAAAAGGAGTGTGAATTTACAATTTTATCTACGTTTTAACGAAAATGTTAACAAAGGACCATTTGTGGAAATAAATATAATAATTAGGGACTAAATAAGTAATATTTGATATGTAGGGACTAAATATGTAAAACGACCTATAACTGGGGACCTTTTATGTAATTTACTCTTTAAAAAAAGATACGTTAATAAAAAACTAAGGTAAATTATATTTCTCCTTGATCTCTCTCATTCTTTGCTCATAGATCATTCGTCCAAACTCCGACAACGTCCCGGGGTCGGTTTGCATGACTTTCATCTCGGCCTCCTGCTCCTTTAGCTTCAACTCCTTCTCCTTTAGCTTCAACCTCTCTTGTTCTTGGAGATTGAACGCCCGAAGTTGTTCAATCTCTCCTTCTCCGGAACCGAATCTCGGTCGACGTACCCCGATTGTTGCGTCTCGTACATCGGCGGNAGTAATATTTGATATGTAGGGACTAAATATGTAAAACGACCTATAACTGGGGACCTTTTATGTAATTTACTCTTTAAAAAAAGATACGTTAATAAAAAACTAAGGTAAATTATATTTCTCCTTGATCTCTCTCATTCTTTGCTCATAGATCATTCGTCCAAACTCCGACAACGTCCCGGGGTCGGTTTGCATGACTTTCATCTCGGCCTCCTGCTCCTTTAGCTTCAACTCCTTCTCCTTTAGCTTCAACCTCTCTTGTTCTTGGAGATTGAACGCCCGAAGTTGTTCAATCTCTCCTTCTCCGGAACCGAATCTCGGTCGACGTACCCCGATTGTTGCGTCTCGTACATCGGCGGTCGATCGCCCAACTCTTGGTAATACCACATCGCGGCGTCGACGAGCGCGAGATTGTCGGGAAAGAATCCAGAGCCGGAAGGATTCATGTTGAAAATTGGGAGGGGGTAATTTCAAAATTATGGGAAGAAAATTGAAGAAGAGTGAAGAAGGAAGATGTGAGAGATTGGGAGGGAGGGGGTTTGAATTTATAAGAATTTTTTTTTTGAATTGGGGGTGCAACGGCTATATAGCCGTTAAGGAGGGGAGGGGAATGGAATGACGCAACGTCATTCCTTTGACGCACGCCCGATCACGCCCGGAGGGGGCGGTGTTTCACGCCCCCGGGGTGTTAAACGCCCGTTCACGCCGGCGGGCGTGAAGCCCATTTCCAGTGCTCTTATGGAATCTAATAAATGCTACCATATTAAGGGGCTGTTTGTTTCAGCCTCTTAATGGTTCAGATGTCTGAATGGTTCAGTACTTAATGGTTCAGACTGTTTGTTTCAGCCTCTTAATGGTCCAGATGTCTGAATGGTTAAGAGATTTGTCTCTGAATGGTTAAGTATTATATAGAGTCTGAATGGTTAAGACCTCTTATCTGAATTGATCAGACATTTGCCTCTGAATAGTTAAGCAATATACTAGCTCTTAATGGTTCAGACCTCTTACTGGTTCAGCACTTAATGGTTCAGACCTCTTACTGGTTCAGCACTTATCTATTCAGAAGTTACCAAATAGCCCCTAAAACTAGATTTCATTTGGAGCACACAATTCATTCCATCCGTCCTATGCATCTAATCTAACAGACCACCTTCATTCTTATTTCTCTCATAGAGTATCATTCTCACTGGATCCAACCCAACCCTTCACCACTTGTCTTACTCTCCCCTTAGCCCAATGCTCCAATCCACCACTCACCCCTACAAAAAAAAAAGGGAATCGACAGACTACCGAAGAAAGGAAGCGGAAGAGCGCAAGACCCGATTGCGGAAGAAAGGACGCCGAAGAAAGGAAGCCAGCACGCCGCCGTCACGCCGACCTACACCCTCCAGGTATTCCATATTCAATTATTCTTAGTTTTCTAATTTTGTAATTTTTATTTCTTAAATCTTAATTTTCTTTCATTGTTTCATTTTTTAGATTTAAAATCTAGGGTTAATTATTAGTTTTTAATTTGAAATCTTTTCTATTTCATCCTCTGAAATAGAATGAATTAATGGTTCTATGTGTTATTTATTTGATTTGGATGAATTGATTTGAATTTGTTATTTAAGATATACTTATATAAAAAAACTGATAATCGAAAAAAATTAAAAACTGATAAATTGACGAATTAATATGAATTTAGGATTTATAAAAAAATTAAAACTTAAATTTGAAAAATAATTTAAAAAAATTGACAAATTGATATGAATTTATGATATATTTATTTATTTTCTTGCTTTTTTAGTATTTCATACTTGATTTTACTAAGTAGTAGAATTTATGAATTTAGATTTAATTTCAGAAATAATTAAATAGCTATGGCTCCTAAACAATTGTCTGATAATCAAAAAAGAAAAAAGAGAACGAGATGAAGAAATGAGAAAGTTCAAGCCGAAGCTCTATATAAGTTTATGAAACTTGTTGCTGAAGACGAAGAAGTAGATGTAAAAGAAATGGAAGAGCAAGAGCATCTACAAATATGTTAATTTGTTAGATCATTAGGGATAATATTTCTAGAGCCTTTTTTTTGTTTCGGCCCGGGCATATGAAATCTCAGGACCGGCCCTGGGAAGTCAGTTAAGGAGATAGGAACAATATATTTGACGAACGAAGCAGCGTATGTAGGTACCCCAAACGTAGTGTTGTACAATTGGTTTACACAACTCTTGTTGTAGCCCCTTACACACACACACACCAATGTACCCAATATATTTACATCATATCCAATAAGTATTATGTAACTCATAAATTTATAAATAGTAATTTTATAATGTACATGTTCTGAATATGTGCGTTTTTTTTTTCAAACAAAATTTAAATCTTGAATATCTCAAACAAAATTTAAATCTTGATATATTTCAATTAATACGGAGTAATTCTTATCCTACTCCCAATCCTTTTAATTTCATTCTCAAAATTTTGTTGAATTTAAAGTCTATTTTTTAACTTCAAAGTCAACAAATCTTTAGAGATGGAGTTGAAGAGTGGGTTTGGAATGAGTTAGAATGAAGGGTTAGAGGGGCTTAAAGAGACAAGAATAATCAATTTTATGAAAAAAGTATTGTAAATACTCCAATTGAAGTTGATGTCATCCGTTGACATTTGCATTGCCATTTATTATACTTGTTTGAAGTTACTTTCAATTTAATTCAAAAAATATATCAAAAAATTTTTTTTAAAAAAATTGATTGCCCCCACTAAATCGCATCATTCAATTTTCTTCTTAAAAAGAGTGTCAATTTTTGGCAGAAAATTATTTTTGGGTGACGCAGATTATAATGAAATAACACGTAGATCCTTCAAGTATAAAAAACATAAGGGGTACTAACATTTTATTGTAAAGACTATGAGGGATAGTTCGTTTCATATTTTGTTAATGATCGTTAAAATGTATTTATCCTATTTTCTAAAATTTTATGTTAATAAAGTTCAGGGCCTTGTCTTTTTAGTTTCCTTATACTTTAATTTTCTTTTTTCATGAAGTTTTTAAAAATGTCCCATCTTAGTATTACCACAAAATGTAAAAGCTTTTAAATGTCTTTTTGAAACTGCAGGGACCTACGAGTTATATCAACAGAACTCACGTGTTCCGGAAATATATATATATATGTGTGTGTGTGTGTATTATTTGTAATTTTGGCTCAAAACTTCATTGGGAGGGGATGGTAAAAAATTGAAAGAAACTACTTTGTACAGTATGAAGTGGGTATTCAGTTGAAATTTTAAAAAATATTTAAAAAAATTGAACGTATTCAATTTGGTGTTTTAGAAGTCATTTAAATATGAAGATATTCAATTTAGATTTTAGAATCTCTTAAAATCAAAGATTATTCATAAATTGATAAATTTTCAAGAATTGTGATCAATTTTGGGATTTGAGTATAAATAAAAATATTGTTCGCATCCAACTAAAATCCTAGCGATTTTGTCGTTGTCCAGGCGTCTTCTCTTCCGCACGCAGAGGTCATCTTCTCGATCTTCTCAGGCCAGGGCGTTGTTCTCTTCTCCAGCTTCACTCCGTCATCCTCAAGGTAAGGTTTTTTCAATCCCTAAGAAGTTATGATAATGAATTTGCTTATGATTATAAGAATTTTTTGTATGATTATGGTCTTCTCTCCATCATGTTTTTGTGTATATGATTATGCTTTTCAATGTAAATTGATGCCAAGAGAATAATTGTCAATCAGCATAATGTGTGGACCACCATACTTCTCCAAATTATTTGATTGTTCAAACCTGGGAAATTCTAGCAACATCAGTTTTTGGGTGCCTTGTATTTTCAACTTTCAGAAAGGGACACATAGAAAGAAACAATGAGCATGAGCCTTTTCATCCTTCTCAAAGTTCTCCAATTTGGATAGCTTCCCAGTGTTCACTTTGTAGACTGGGTTTCTTTGGGAACTTTTATCAGATAGGTTGTGAGCAACCTTAATAAAAAGAAATATATGAAACTAATATAAATTGGAGAACTCAGGAAATCAACAGAGGAACCAGAGAAGAACTTGATGATTTTATTACTCCATACTTAAGCCAATTTATAGGCTGTGAAAGCAGAGAAAGTGGATACAAACTGATTTACGAGAAAGAAGGAAATCCACAGAATGTGGGCAGCTACTTCCTAAAGAATAGGACAACATAGTTTACTAAAAAGATACTGACTTATTCAATAATACTACTAAAAATACTAAATCAAAGACTTATTCAACATTCCCTCCTGTAAACTGAAATATAGAGAATGTTTTCAGTTTAAGTAGGTTCACAAACACCAAGCAGTCTCCTTAACCTCTGAAAAACTGAAATCTTCAAAGGTTTTGTCATTATATCCGCAAGTTGATCTTCACTTCTGCAAAATAAAAGCTCGATAGTCACATCTCTAGCGAGATCCCTGAGAAAATGAAACCGTACATCAATGTGCTTGCATCTTCCATGAAATACTGGATTTCTTGACAGTCTTAGTTAAACTGTTATCGTAGTAAACCGGAGTTGTCTCTTGCTTGAAATGCAAACATTCAAGAATATTCCTGAGCCAAATAGTTTGACAAGCACATCCGGCTGCAGCTACATATTCAGCTTCAGTAGTTGATAAAGTAACAATTGCTTGCTTTTTAGAAGACCATGAAACTGCTGCTGAGCCAGTATGAATACATAACCAGATGTACTCTTCAAGATCACCTGCATAATCACTATCAGTAAAGCCATAAAGTATTGATTTCTCGCCCTTTTATCAAAGGAGGCCATATCCAATAGTTCCCTTCAAATACCGGAGTATCCTTTTTGCAGCTTAAAAATGCAATTCATCAGGGCAATCCATATATCTGCTGATGAGGCTAACTTCATGCATTATATCAGGTCTTGTTGCTGTCAAATACATTAGACTCCCCACAATCTGCTTTAATAAAGTAATGTCTACTTCACTTCTATTAGATTTCTTAGTTAGCTTCAAACCGACCTCAATTGGTGTACTCACAAATTACAGTCCTTCATTTGAAATCTGTCCAGAATTTCTTGTGTGTATTTTTTCTGGGAGATGAATATTCCAGAGGCAGTTTGTTCAACTTCAATGCCCAAGAAGAAATGCATCATACCAAGATCAGACATTTCAAACTCATGCATCATTGAATGCTTAAATGCATCAAACATAGCCACATCATTTCCAGTGTAAATTAGATCGTCAACATATAAGCACACAATCAGAATTTTCCCATCTTTACCCATTTTAACAAATAATGTGTGCTCATAGGGACATTTCAGAAAGCCTTCCTTCAGAAAATAAGCTTCAATCTTCAATACGACTATACCAAGCACGTGGTGCTTGTTTTAGCCCGTATAAAGCCTTTTTCAATTTGTAAACTTTTCTCTCATCTTCAGATCTCACAAAACCAGGAGGTTGATCAATGAATACCTGTTCTTGAAGCTCACCATGCAAGAATGCTGATTTCACATCGAGTTGATAAATAGGCCATTCATGTTGTGCTGCCAAGGCAATCGCCAGTCTGATTGTGTCATGCCTTGCAACAGGAGCAAAGACCTCCGTATAATCAATCCCAAATTCTTGCTTATAACCTTTTGCTACCAAGCGTGCCTTGTACTTATCCACTTCTCCATTTGCCTTCAGTTTGGTTTTGTAAACCCACTTTACTCCAATTGTTTTGTGCCCTTCTGGAAGATCAGTAAGTTCCCATGTATTGTTCCTTTCAATGGCTGCAATTTCCTCACTCATTGCATTTTGCCATTTTGGATCATTTGCAGCTTCTTCAAATGTAATAGGATCACAATCTGAAAACAATACAAAATGAGTGAGTGGCTCTTCATCACCAGTTACCTCATAGTCAGTCATCCAAGTGGGTCGTTTTCTATTTCGTTGAGAACGTCCGGTTTCAACTGTTGTGCATGGCTGACCCGTAATATTCGGACAAATAGGAACAAGTTCCTGCCCCTGTTCTTCTTCGTCTCTTTCATTTCCTTCCATGTTGACAGGAACATGTGTTTTTACAGGATCATTACTCCATGACCAAAATTCATCCTCATCAAAAGTGACATCACGACTAATGACAATCTTTTGTGTGATCGGATTATAAAGTTTATACTCCTTTGAATGAGGACTTACACCAAGAAGGATACACTTCTCTGCTTTGTCATCCAGTTTGGTTCTTCTGGTCAGGAACATGAGCTTAAGCGATACACCCGAATACTCTGAAATGATTTACAGATGGTATGTGTCCACTCCATGCTTCTTCTGGTGTCATATTTTGAACAGCAAAAGTTGGGCTTCTATTCAAGATATGAACACTCCAATTAACTGCTTCGGGCCAAAAATCTTTTGGGACACAACTTCTCCGCAAAATGCTTCGCACCATGTTCAAAATAGTGCGATTCTTCCGCTCACTAACACCATTTTGTTGTGGGGTGTATGCAGCTGTTAATTGCCTCTTGATTCCCTGATTTGTGCAATAATTTTTAAACTCCTCAGACAAATACTCTCCCTCGCGATCTGTACGAAGAACCTTGATTGAACGACCCTTTTCCTTCTCAACGAGTGCTTTAAAGTTCTTAAATGCAACAAAGGCTTGGGATTTTTCTTTTAAGAAATAAGTCCATATCTTTCTACTATAGTCATCAATGAAAGTAATGAAGTATCTATTACCTCCATTAGAGACTGGCTTTATAAGACCACATATGTCAGAGTGTACCAGATCCAACACATCCTTAGCTCGCCAGGAAGACATTTGAGGAAATTGAGTTCTGGGTTGTTTGCTAACAACACATTCTTCACTCAATTGAGAGGGATTAGGAAATTCAGGGAGCCCACTGACCATATTCTTTTGTTGTAAAGTCTTCAGACCATTGAAGCTCAAGTGTCCATAGCGATAGTGCCACAACCAGGCGTCATCTTTAAGCTTCGTTGAGAAAGAAGCATGGACAACGTGTCGAAGATGAAGTGGGAACATACGATTTCCCATGCTTAGCGGATTGGTCTTCAATTCCGGAACAAAGAAAACATTAGAAATCACATATGTTGAGTTCTCCTTGGTTTGAATTGTGATCTTTCCTTTCCCCATAACATCCACAGTTGACTTGTTCCCAAGCTTGACAGTGTCCTGATAAGAGGTGTTTAATTCAGAAAACACGTTCTTATGGTTGCTGCAACCAGAGTCCAAATACCAAATATTTTGATGAGTGTCTTCGTCTACGTGGCATGCCATCAGAAGTGATACTTCTGATATTTCTTCTTCCTTCTCAGCAAAATGAGATTTTTCTTCATTTTGCCCGTTCAAATTGCTGTAGCACTCATTCCGATAGTGACCATACTTGTGGCAGCGGTAGCACTCAACATTTGATTTGTCTACTGACTTTGATTTATGATTTGTTGAGTGCTGACCGCCTCGTCCTCCTCCTCTTCCTTGGAATTGATTGGTTTGGTGTTGGGTATGGTAGTTGCTTCCTCTTCCTCTCCCACGACCTCTGCCTCGACCACCTCTGTTATTTGATGAGGGCTGATGATTTACAGAGGCCTTCAAGGCCTGCGCACTTTCAGCTTCCTGGGAAATCAGCTTCTTTTCATGAGCCAGAACAGAGCTCTCCAAGTCATCAAGTGACATTTCATCAGTGTCATTTGCCTCTTCAATGGAACATACAACATAATTGTATTTTGCCGTCAGTGACCGTAGTATCTTTTGAACAACGGTTCCATCGTGTAGTTCTTCACCATAACACCGCATCTTGTTGACTATTGTCATAGTCCTTGAGTAATAATCAGCAAATTTTTCACCATCCTTCATCCGGAGTAATTCATACTCTGAACGTAGAGTTTGGAGTTGCAACTTCCTTGTCTTTGCATTTCCCTGGCATTTCTTCTTCATGGAGTCCCAAATATCTTTGGAGGTTTCCTTACAAGGAATGGTCTCCAAAATAGCCCGATCAATCGATTGAAAGAGATAGTTTTTAGCTTTGAGATCCTTCAGTTTCAAAGCTTCCAATTTCATCCTTTGGTCAGCCGGCATCTCAATGGTTGGAGTTGCTACTGCAGTTTCCACCACGGCCCAAAGCTCCTTGGACCGGAGAAAATTCTCCATCAACATGCTCCAATGATCGTAGTGACCATCAAAGCGTGGGATAGAAGGTTGAACAAAACCTTCTGATGCCATCAAACCAACTGTTCTTGCTGCTGCAATGATTAGACAGTGGCTCCGATACCAAATGTAGACTGGGTTTCTATGGGAACTTTTATCAGATAGGTTGTGAGCAACCTTAATAAGAAGAAATATATGAAACTAATATAAATTGGAGAACTTAGGAAATCAACAGACCAGAGAAGAACTTGATGATTTTATTACTCCATACTTAAGCCAATTTATAGGCTGTGAAAGCAGAGAAAGTGGATACAAACTGATTTACGAGAAAGAAGGAAATCCACAGAATGTGGGCAGCTACTTCCTAAAGAATAGGACAACATAGTTTACTAAAAAGATAGTGACTTATTCAATAATACTACTAAAAATACTAAATCAAAGACTTATTCAACACACTTTCTCCATAATGTGCAAAAGGAACACTGCTTCAATTTCTATATTCTTCATTGCATACTGAAGGCACATATTTTCCAGAAAAATGCCGTGAAACCAATTGTTTATATCGTGATTTAAAAACATAAAATTCTGCACTACTATATCATTTGGGCGTTTTCGTCACTGTTTTTTATTGCAGTTCATCTTTGAGGTTAGCACACCTATCCCCATCTGGATTTTAGGATTGGAATGAGAATGCATTATATGTGTATGTTTATAATTTTACTCTCAGCCAACCCTACCTAGTGGGATAAGGCTTTGTTGTTGTTTATAATTTTACTCTCTGTTTTTTAATATGCAAATACTCAAGCCTTGCTCTCCTATTTTCTTTTGTTGCAGAAATTTGATATGTTTTCCCCTTTCTTTTTTTGTTGTTTCAGGTTTTAATAAAAAAACATGGAGGTTTTGAAGTATAATGATGTGATTCTCAGACCTTCAGACATTGATGTTTTAGAGAACCCTTGCTTCCTGAACGATCAAATCATCGCGTTCTACTTCAGTTACTTGTCTTCTCTGTGCAGTGAAGATGATATTGCCTTTGTCCCACCTGTGGTGTCCTTTTGGTTGGCAAACTGCGACGCCGAAAGTCGCAAAGATGCTGTGGAACCCCTCAAGTTAGGCAACAAGCGCCTCATTCTATTCACCGTCAACAATAATGTGGATTTCGACAATGGTGAGGGTGGAACACACTGGAGTATCCTCATATTCGACAGAACTAAAAACTCCTTCCTACATCTGGATACTCTGAAAGGGGTTAATCATGCCCATGCCTTTAAGCTCTATGATTCTGTGAAGCAATACGTTGGTGTGCCATCGGCCTCAAAGGAGAGGGTTAAGAATAAAAACAAGAACAAGAAGAAGAGCAAAGTTGCGTCCGTTGCTGCCGCAGAGGTAACGTTTGAGGAGTGGACTGCTACTCGACAAATTAATAACTATGATTGTGGAGTCTATGTGATGGCAGTGGCCAAGGCTGCTTCTGATTTTTATATTAGTGACAAACCTGTCAAAGAGAGGGATTGGCTGTCTTTCGTTGCAAAAAATGTTGATGATTCTGTTGAGTTGGGGACCTTTAGACAAGATATCAGGCGACTCATTGAAGATTTAAGAAACAGCCACTGATGATATGTTTGGCTGCATGCTAAGGAATGGGAAAGAAAGTAAGAAACCCTCCCCTACCTTGAGCAGAATGGGTTCACGTAATTTCTTGAATGGTCAAGAAAATGATGTGCATGATCTGATGGTTATAGAGGTACGGTGTTTCACTAGTTCATCTCTAGAGTGGTAAAAACATACGGTTAATTTTACTGTCACTAGCCTTAGGTTTGTGCATCAAGAGTAGGATTTCTCTAAAATTCTCCCTGGCTTTTGTTTGTTAACAAAATTTCTTGGAACAATTGTTCAAATTCAAATAAGAATGGTAAACGTCCTACTTTTCGGGGGAATGTTCATGCATCTTGGCTATCATCTGTAGTTGGGATCAGGTGTTTGGTGATTTTACTTATACTTATTGTCTCAAAGGTCATAGTTTATGGCATGGTCAGATATTTGATGGTATTTGAAATCACATCTTGGCATTGTGATTTGTGAGGCAAGCATGAGAAGCATTTTGATATTTGATTATAAGAAATGAAAACCCCTAAGAAAAACTAAGGAATGAAAAAAAGAAAGTAGAGCCTTTTGCTTACAGATATAGACAACATTCAATTTGTAAACACATGCAAACCCCTTTACTTTGGATTGATGTCTATTGTGATTACGTTTACATAGCCTTACCCTTGATATACACCCCTGAGATGTAATGATTTATTCAGTTCGTTGTAAAAAATGCAATCTCTCTAATTTTCTTTCTATTTGAGACTAGATTTTAACCCATGCAATGCACAATACTAAAAGTCTGATAATAAGCTATGTAAAATATAAGGGTGTGGTTCCTTTGAAATTGCTAAACAATGTCACAAGATGATCCGGGAGACCTAGAGTGTCTTGTTTGTGAAGACAATTCCCAACTCCCGATAAATCCACCATGTCCCGTCCCGTCCTAGGGAATATAGGAAGGGGGTTAGAGGGATAAAAATCATCAATTTTACGAACAGGGCATCGGAGGTACTCCAAATAGACGAGTGTCATCCAAGGCACTAGATCATAGGGTCAACGGAACCTTATTAATATTTTCCTTCTATACCATTGAAAGTGATAAGTAAATAATGGTTAAGCAATATAATACAAATTACTTTTTCCTGGTTAAACAAAAAAATAATTGAATCAAAGGTATAAAAACATAAATATGGATAAAAAAAGTCAATTTTGTGCATGTTTAAGAGGTCTTATATAGTAAATTTGGATGAAAAGTGTTATTGTATATTCATTATATATTCATTTACAAGTAAAAAAATTACTAATTTCATACATTTGTTTTCATAATAATAAAAATAGATAATAATAATAACAAAACGTAGTGGTTCTGCTGTCACTCTTCGGATAACACTAGCTTCAATTGATGTACTTACGATGCTTCTTTGACAAAAGTGATGATTCATACCCCCTACACCCCGGTAAACCCCCCACTTCGTAGCCAGTGGCTATGGAACGTTTTTGATAATAGTAATAATACTATTATTACTATAAAGAATACATGCAAATAATCTTTAAATCACTATTAAAAGGAATAAAAAAGTTAGATGACGCTAGAAAGAGTATAAAGAAACTTGAAAAAGTTGGAAGAAATTAATTAAAAGAATTAAATTGGTAGAAACTAGAAATAGTTGAAAAAACTAAAAGAAATTAGAAAAATTGGAAGTTAAGGGTGCATTTGGGTGTGGGAAAATGTGTTTTTAGACAAATTATTTTCTAGGAGAAGACAATTTCCATGAACAATTATTCTCCCCCACGTACATTTTTCATTGTTTGATAGGAGGTTTGTTTTTTTTTCAAAAAAAAAAAATTCTATTATTTGTTAGGAAAAGAATTTTTTTATATTAGTACAATGTTTATATTTGAATGAAAAACAATAATAATTTGAGATAGTTTTTAAAATATTTTAAGAAACATAGTTTTTTTATACACAATGAATATCAAACATTCATTATAGAGTTTCGTTCTCTAAGATTCGGGGAAGGTGGTGGTTGGGGAAGGGGGTGGCTAGGGACGGGAGTAGGGAGAGGGCGTTGCTAGAGCGGGGGTAGGGGGAGGGGATGAGAATGGGTGGGGGCAGTGAACTCGAGCAACTATAGTGTTCGAGGATTGAATGAGAAAATGAATTTTTTTCTAAAATAAATGAAGGTCATTTTCACCTCATTGAGAGAACATTTTCCATAAAGAATTATTTTCTACCATGTATACAACCGAAATAGGAAAGTATAATTGATACGGAGTATTATCTAGAAAAATATTTTTTTCTCCCAACCAAATGGATCCTAAGAGTTAGAATTTTTTAAAAAATAGAGCCTTATAAAAATAGAAGAAAAATTACAGAATTGAAGAAAATTTCATTTAACCCTTATGCGTCGCATTGGAAAAAATAATAGTTCATTTTAAAAGTCACGAGATTTTATACGTTAATCGAAAGATGTAATTCATTTTGGGATGGAGAAAGTATAAAATTGAACAAATTAGACTGTACCTAGCTAGCTACTATGGTCATGTTCTTTTGGGTTGAAATTTCAGAGTTGAATGTTGGAAGAAACCGGAAGAAGATGCATCTCAATTAAATGATCACCCAAATAAATATATTAAAAAATTGCAAGAAGTTAGAAAATATTAGAAGAATTAAAGTATTAAAAAGAAACTCAATTAAATGATCACCCAAATAAATACTCCTTTTATTTTGAAGTATGTTAAAAAATTCTAATTTTGGGGAAAAAAGAATTTATCCTTGTTGTGTTTAAGTTGTTGCTGGAAGAAACTAGGAGTACGTTGGAAGGAACTAGAAAAAATTAGAAGAAACTAGGAGTTAGAAAGAGTTGGAAATGAATTTTTCCAACCCAAATGGATTTACTTTTGCTTTGAAATTCTTCATAATTTTACCAAATTCATTTTACCAAACACACTATGGAAGACTAAAAACTAAACTTTAGACTCCGACAATTGAATTTGGAGTTTCGGTACATTACTAGTTTTAACTCAACTTTGAAGATTAGATTCGAGACAGAGGAAGATTTTTTTGGTGATCTTCCTAAAAAGTGTTTCTTTGGTGCAATTTGGATGTATATCATTTTTGTAGATTTTTTCACAAAAATTTTTTTAAATTAAAAAATAGATGTTTATTTAATAAATAAAGAAATATTTATTTTGTTCATATGTAAATTTACGGTGAATCTTAGGTCCACCATAGAATTCACCATCGCTAAATAAGAGTAAAAAGAAATCCAACATCTAAAATAGGAATCCGATTTAATTATATACTTATGTAGGAGTGGGCCAAGCAATATGAGTTGATTTTTGCTTATTTTGCCCTCGCCGCACACTATCTCCACCTCAAATTCCACTACCTCCCACGTCACACTATCACCCACCGTCACACTGCCACCTCCCTCGCCACACTGTCATAATCACCATCACCGCTATCGCCACACCGCCATTCTCTGCCACCCTACCACCACACTGCCATCATCAGCACCTCTCTGCCGCCGCATTAACTCCCTTTGCCGCCACACTGCCAACTCTGTCACCACATTGTCACCCTCCGTCGCCACATTGCCACCTTCCGTAGCCACACTACCACCACCACAACGAAAATAAAATTAGATCAAATGGAAAATAGAGAAAAGGGTAAATACGGAATAAAAATAAATGTGAAAGGGGGGTCAATCCCATGGAAGTAAATAGTCTCTAGACTATTCACATGGGTAAAATTTATTCACTTTCTTTCCTTATTTTTGTTAGTCAATCGATAAGATAATATAATCAAGTCATCATTAGTTTTGTAGAATATTTTATTTAGTTTTAAATTCTGTACCATTTCTATATAAAATGATTTAAGAACAATTCTAATCAAATATCGTAAATTGAAACAGACAATTTAAATTGAAATGGATGGGCTAATCTTTTAACTAAACGGGAATTTCTTAAGTGTTTTTTTTGAAAACTTAAATCGATTCTAGTAATTCGAGCTTAAATAATAGAGCCGAGAGTATGAGTAATTAAAGAGTTTCGTGTACCATTTATCACATCTTTTCAAAAATTGCGTGAATTCCTTCTGAACTTTAAAATTTGTACTAGTGGTCCCTGAACGTTTAAAAACGTTGCGTCAATAGTCTCTCTGTGCTCAATATGGGAGTATATTAATTACATGCTCGTCCAGTGCAAGTGTGTATTCATCTAATCTCATATTGCACACGTTAGTTCTGCAATATGATTTTCAAAACATTATCTTCTAAATTTTTTTAATCTCTTAAAATCTTAGATAATTGTTCTTCCTTTAGCCATCAATAAAAAATCGATACAAAAGATCTAAAAATCAAATGCTAAAACTAATTTTTGTAGTAGTGTCAAGCATCTGGATCAAGTTTTTCATCAACCGATCAATCTCTTCATCAATTCATAGCATCTTCATCACGATGTTGCATGTATATTGATAAGCGTCTGATTAACGCACTACCAAATATAGCACATAAGGGCTATTGATGCAAAGTTTTACAAAGTTTAGGGATCATTGATGTCATTTCTAAAATTTCTGAGAAATTCATATAATTTTTTAAGAGTTCGGGGTACATAATTCAAAAAACCCAATAATTAAATATAGAGATTGAATAACTTAGACTGTACCTAACTCCTAACTTTACTTTTGCTTTGAAATTCTTCATAATTTTACCAATTTAAATTACCAAATATGCTATTAGTTTTTTAATGCTATTAGTCGAATTCAGGAATTTGAAGACTAAAACATAGACTTACACTGGACTTTTGACCAATAGAGTTTCGAGTTTGGTTAAATTACTCATTTTAACTAAAATTTGAGTATTAAAAAAGGAGCCTCATCTTGAGGGTTCCTCAATCACTGAGAAGAGATAAATTGAATCTTGATCGTAGATGGGTAATAAAGAGTGAAATCTATACTTAGTACTTGCAGAGACCTTAGCTTATGCCTAGCATAATTATCTCTCAATGTAGTTGGCACAAATAAATTGAAGATAGTTGAATATAGTTGCAACTATTTGAATATTGATTCTAGAGACCGAAAGATTTTTTTTGAAAATTAGAAATTTGTTCTGGTAAGTAGAGTTTGGATAATAAAGCAAACTAAAAATTGAAGATTAAAATAATCTTTGAAGCTAAAAATTGAATAAGCTAGTATTCACCTAACTCTTAGGTCTTTACTTTTGCTTTAATTACCATAAGACTTTGGTTTTGCTTTGAAAGTCTGCATGATTTTACCGCTTTTACCTTATTTTTATTATACTCGTTTTAAACTACCATGCATGTCACTACCGATTCACTATAAAGCATTGCGGAGTCATAATTTTGTATACTTACCATAAG